ATTTACTTGAATTCAAATTTATTCTTTAATTAAATTGAATGTAAATCAGTTTTGTTTTGCAAAATGATATCAGCAATCAAAATAATAATTATAGATCGAAAAATCAAGTATTTACTCTAAATTTTTGTTGCTTGTAGCAACCTAATTCTAACTTATCTTACTCAAATCATTAATATTAACACTATTATTACTATTTAATAACTTAGTACTTTCTAAGGTGTGCTCAACTTTCATTATGACAGCAATGGCATTTGATCGTTACATGGCTATTTGTTATCCAGGAATTGTTCAAGTAACTTATAATATGCATTTTTACAAAAATAAAAATTGTTATTACTTGTATTAAAATTGATCTCTCATAAAATTTGTTAGCTAATTTAAGTGATTATAATTAACGCCATCATATTTTATAATGCATCAGAAATAATTTTTATGTTTACTTTACTTAAGTATTCAATTTTATTCACTTAAGCTTACTTTTAGATTCATCGAATGAAACAAACATTTTTAATCATATTTAGTCTGGTGATTATCGCACTTGCATTATTATTACCTGTAGTCTATTCTGCAAGAGTTGCGCGTATCAGTTTTGGAGACAAATATGTTACTTCTGACGGCGTACGTGATTTTTACGTTAACGAAATTCGAGAAAATTTATGAGAAGAGAAAATTTCATTTCTTTATTTAATCAAAAATTTTAAATTTTGTGGCTGTAGAGAGAACATCAAATCACTAAAGAAGTTTGTGCTGATGGCATGAAACGCGAATTACGTATGTGGGTATCACTTTACGTGTTCATTTTTGGATTTCTTTTACCAGGAACTTTGCTGAGCTTTTTCTACGCAAATATGCTTCTTAGGTTACGAAAACAGAGCAGGTTATTTATTTCAATACCTTTGACCCATAATCTTTTAAAAACTTTTTTTCTTAATAATTTTGTAAAATATCAAATCAGCATTTTAAAAAATTCCATGTAATTTTTTATTTATATACTTGCGAATTGCAAGTAAATCAAAAACGAAAACAAAATTTTACAAATAAAACAAAATAATAATAGTTTATGAGATAATAGAATAATTAAAATTCAGTAGTAATTAATAAAGTATAAAAAGTGATACTACTGATAATTAAATTAAAAATTTGTAACAGGATAATTGATTGATAAATAATTTAGAGCATTTATTCAAACTCGAATTCCCTTTCGACGTGTTACCACGTATACGCTTGTCGTAAGCGTATTTTATTTTATTTGCCAGTTACCCTTTTGGCTTTCTCAACTTTACGGAATAATTTTGGCTGTTGTTGGAATACGTCCACCACCGTCCATTGTTTTAATAACTGTAATTATCTTTAACTTGTTTTTCAAAAATCTTTCAATGAAACACAGTAATTACAATAAACTTATACTAAAGTAAGATATGCTAATTTTCTGTTCGTTCACTGAAGTTAGTACTTCACAAGACTTTCACAAAATTATATTCAAATTACTATATAATGATAGCTTTTCATAAAGTAATGATTACTATATTGATTATTTAATATGCTATCAGTTACTTAGCAAATTTTAACCTGGAAAGTCTTAGGTCACGTAATGTCAAATTACGATGATGATGCTTGAATTTTGATCATGTTTAATTATCATAGTTTATATACGTAATATAAAATTCTAGTATGTATGTCATATGTTTCCATTTATCGCAGCAGCGTTCAACTGGATATTTTATGCCCAGTTAAATACTCAGTTTCGAAGTGGATTGACATTAGTGAGTGAGCGAATGATTCGACGGTCAGTGAGGTGAGAGGTCATTTTTAAGGTTATGCAAATTTTTTTAATATACTAAGTATTTTTAATTCTTGATATTTGAAGTAACATGACATGACCAGCTATTAGCTGTAACAATATTTCAAGGTAAATTGAAATCTGAGCTTAAATACACAAGTGTTAGTGCAAATTTAAAAAAGTTAAGTTTGACCTTAGCTTTTTCGGACATGCGATTGCGTGATTACTGATAAGACGTCAAGGAATAGAACGGAACTTCTTGCAGTCAATGTTTCTCATTCTATAGGATGGATATATTGTATGCGGATTTGTCGTGGAGCGACCTTGCCCATTTATAAACTTCGAAAAAAACAACAAAGTTTGATGAATAACAATAAAGTTCCAGTATTATAAATCACCCGAAATCCAGTAAAGCTTTCATTGGCCAATGCAAAACTTTCGGGAACTAACCTCTGACCCTGATAGTTAAACCAGAACTTATCTTCTTTGCTTGTTCATTTGACAATTTAGATTATTTTTTATTTGCAATAAACTTTTGATCATACTTGTTTTTAATTTAGAAACTGATATTGACAATTCTTACGTTTAGTTCCATCAAATTATTTGCACGTAATAATGCTTTAATCTCGAGAATATCATAGAGCTTATGAATTTCCAATTTTATATAAATTACAAAATTATCAAAAAACCAAAAAACTTTACTTATTTCTATATTGCTTTCCTTAATTAGAATAGAAATTATTAATCCCTCCAAAAAATACAATTTTACAATTGAAGATTGAATTAAATATAAGGTCAAGTAACAGAACCTTCCCCTATTTTAAAAGATTTATTAATGAATTTCAACCAGAAAAGCATATTGGTTTTTTTTAAACTTTTTTATGTAACAGGATGAAAGGTCAGATCAGTAGATTTCATCGGTCAAAATTCTTTAACAAAATATTGCTTTAAGCATTTATAATAATATCTTGTTGTTTATAAAACTCATAACTATTATAAAATTATTATTTATAAATTTTTGCAATTTTTATGACGAAAACAACAGATCATTTTTTTAATTGTACGTCTGAAACTTCTATTAAAACACGTATAAATGACAGGATTGAAACAAGAATGCGCGTAGCCAAGCCATGATGTGACCATAAATAAGTTCACGTGGAAGTCTTTGTTGAATTTGATATTGAGACCAATGCAAATACCACGATAAACTGCTATGCAAAAATATGGAATCCAACAGATTAAAAATGCAACTGAAGTAATATGAAAATTAATGTTACAAATAACAATTTAAATGGATACAAGTTCAAATCTTATGAGCTTATAAAGAATAAAGTTAATTAATCTCATAAGTTAATTATATTTCGAGTGTTATTTTAATAAGAAACTTACAAAGATTTTTTCAAAATTGCAAAATTTTTGACTTAAAATATATACCAAAAAAAAAATTGAAGCTACAAATAATAATTAAAATCAGAAATTAAATTATTAATTTATTCAATATCATTAATATTA